TGGTCCAAAAAACGGAAAGAATTTTTGCACCGACCTAATAGTAATCAGAATTGATAAAATTCTAATTTCCTAGCTCTTGATGGTATTTCCGCCAAAAATAATACTGCACTCATTTCGACATCAAATGTCGCAAGTTGAACATTTTCTACTGACTGCTCAAACTTCCTGTTCTGTAGAGGGCAAAGAAATGATTGAATAAACTGATAAACTAATGAAAAAGTTCTTATTCGCTTGATTTCTTTGATGTAATTCTTACAGTTCGTCTGCACTGGTGGCTCACCTACAAGGCTAAAGCTTTATGCTGAATGGTTTGCGAAAGAATGCAACCTTGAGTGTAGCGAAAATCTTTCCAAAAGTGACCGTTATGTCCTGTATAAGACTGGAAAAGTTGTTTGGGCCAATGCAAGTTGCACTTTTTTATTTCACCTATCAGAAAATACCAGAAAAGGATTTCCTACAGCACGGTATGGGAACGCCTTCACTGAGTATTATGCTTATTGAGATGTTAAAATTGATGCATCACGCCAAAGCAGAAGATGTTAAGTGAGTTCCTTATGCAAAAGCATGTTGACAAATATTCTTTAAAGTGCATTATTTACAGATTTATCCGATTAGGGACCTCTGGAGGCGTTGGCGTCGAACCGGGTACAGTTGTGGTCAGCACAAATGCAATGAACGGTGAACTTACTGACAAATATGTTCAGTGGATTGCTGGGAAGAGGATAAGTGGTTTTTCTGCATCAAAATGTTTTGGAGTGCCCATGGCATTTCTTTAGGTAGAAAGAGAAACATGGCTTGATGAAGATTTACGAAAAGAGCTGCTCGCCCTTGCTGCTGAGATGAATATTCCTGTAGACACTGGTCTGACGTTATGCGCTGATGACTTCTATGAAGGTAATTTTTGAAATAATATTAAATCAGCTGAGGTATTCCTACTCTGCATAGGTCAAATGCGTCTCGATGGATTTTTCTGTGACTACAAGATGGACGAAAAATTCGAATTTCTGAAAAAGCTCCACGAATTAGGCGTTCGAAACATTGAAATGGAAAGCACATGCTTTGCGTCAACGACATACCGTGCCGGAGTTAAAGGTGGGAGTAAGCTTAACGTACTAAGAACTTCTTGTGTACAGCGAAGGCCTTGTGACTTTGAAAGCGGCTCAATATATAATGA